TTTCGAGTATAGACTTCCGGAAATTTACACTGAGCCTCCTCAGAGAGAAGCCCGACAACAACGGCAGACAGGAACAGCATAAGGAGCAGGAGAAAACGCTTTGCAATAAAATAGCGACCTGTTGCACGACTCAAAAGCGACATTAATCTTTCCAAAACATTCTTACCTTTTACGTTAGGGTCCTGCAGCCACAGCTGCCGAAACATCCTCCCGTGCATTGGCATTCTTGCCCATGGAGAAGCCGTCACTAGTGTATGGTGTATGCCAGTGTATAACTTCCAGCTGCACGTACATGCCGCAAGCGGCATTGGTCCGGAAAAACAAAACGAGGCTAGAAATAAACACAAAGAAACTGCGCAAACTGTGTTACAATGTTGCCAAACCTTACCGTCATGCCGCCATATGCTTTAGGAATAAAGAGAGCACAGTTATCAATACTCCGATGAAGCCGTTGCTTGCAGAATAAACAGACGCCACTTGTTTTGTGAATGTTTTCACGTATTTTAGCGTATACGGTAGCTGTTGACACTAGCGCCAGAACAATAGCCAAAAACTAGCCATGTAGCCAGCGCTTTTTTTTGTCGCTGCGGCCTGCTAAAAGTAGCCAGTTTGGCATAAAGTAGCCACATCTGGCAACCGTGCTTTCGCGTGCAGTGGCGCTGATCGGTGGCTTGACGTAGCACGCAGCTCGTCCATTGGTCTAAACCAGTCATGGCGACAGGCTATGCCTTCCCCTCCCTGTGAGGGTGAAGAGGGGGCAAGGCCATGCGAAAATTTGAAACCAGGTAAAACCGATGTCCTTACCCCTGTAACTTATTTAATATAGCACGTATTCACAGAATCCTTGCGGCAGCATGTTCACAAAGCAAAAGTTCACATCCTTCTCTTTGTAACAATTTTTGGGCTTCGAGCTTGTTTACTGTCCCTTTGATGGAAAACGACATGCCTATGCTCACATTCATTCTCGTTATGCAGTCACTTGGTGGTGCCATCTGGAAATGGTGGGATTGGGGGGGTGAGTTCGAGTCAGATTACTTATGTGTAGATATGTCTGGATATGGTGTTGCGTTGCTGCGTTCAAGGTCGTGGCTTCGATTGATGGCTCTGGTTGATCTTTTCAGGAAGGGTAGGAAAGGAAGTCATAGTTTACCACAATTTGCTCTTTCTTTATAAAAACATCGGTGTGTTCCTCTCTGAGAAAGGCGCCCCGCCGCGGTGGTCTAGTGGCTAAGGTACTCGGCTGCTGACCCGCAGGTCGCGGGTTCGAATCCCAGCTGCGGCGGCTGCATTTCCGATGGAAGCGGAAATGTTGTAGACCCGTATGCTCTGATTTGGGTGCACGTTAAAGAACCCCAGGTGGTCGAAATTTCCGGAGCCCTCCACTACGGCGTCTCTCATAATCATATGGTGGTTTTGGGACGTTAAACCCACATATCAATCAATCTCTGAGAAAGGCGTTCCAGCTCTAGCCGCTCTGAGATCCTTTTGGTACATGTAAGTCGCCTGAAAATTTTTTCGTCTTTTTTGCAGAGGCTGACCGAGAGGATGACAACGATGGAGCTCGCACACAAGAGATCCAGAGTGAAGAGGTTATCTGTGAAGTCGACAGCTTTAATGTTGCTTCACCTCCGGAATCCTCCTGTAAGTCCCTGCTGAATTCAAGCTGTTGTAAATCGAATCAACATGCCTCTTCTGTCATAGTGTCACCACATTTCAGTACTATACTTATACCTCTGTCACTGACATTGTCACGACGCCCACACTACAATGTCCCTGACATTGTAGTGTGGACGTCGATGCTGGAAGCAGCTGGATGGTGGGTGAAGTTTGCTGGCTTGCTTGTTCCTTCATATATGGCTCCCACCCACAACGGGGGATTGGCCATGAAACCGGCGGTTAACATATAAGTGCATAACTACAAGCGAGACATACGAGCTTTGTTCAAGAATGCTTCTTTTAGGTCCATTGACAGTAAACCTGTTGTAAATGGTGTACATATATAGCTTGCCGTTAGTGCTATAGATAGCATGAGCGGCACAGCCTAGTTGGTTAATGCAGCACGCTGAGGAGCGAGGCATCGCTGATTGAAATCTCCGGTGGGGTGCCTTGAAATTTTTTCTTCTGATTTTTCTTTGCACCTTTTATATATATATATGTACACGCATATACATACTTGCCGATTCTCCCAAATTGTCCAGGAGGCTCTTGAATTTCGACCTAGTTTCTCAATTGTACGAATGCTAAATCGGATCTCCCGAAAAGTGAGCGCCATAGCAAAGCCGTTTTTTTATTAACCACGCGTGCACGTCGGCCTTTGCTGCTGTGACAGTTCCAGTGCTGTGGAAGAGCACCCACCCTTACACTTCCAGTTCGTTGCGACCATACCGTTGAGTACTGTACCGTATGCCACCATTTAAGCAGTTTTTGAGGTCGCGAGTATAGAATCAGTGCCACTGCAACGGTGAATGCGTTTCTCTAATTCACTCGGATAACTTAAGCATTCTTGAATGACTTATGCTATTGAAATCATTCGATTGCTTAAGTTGTTAGATTCTTATGACATTATAGATCACTGTTTAGCAGCTTTGTAATGTCATTAGGTGCGAATGTCACTCCATTCGAATGACATTAAACTGTCCAGTATGCAGGAGTATTAGCTGTGTGAGTAGTTTCAGAGTTGATGTACGAAATTCCTGGTGGTGCTGCGTTAGACACCCCATTCTCCACCATAATCTGTGCTTTCTGGGTTGAATCCTTGCGTCCGCAAACAAGCTGTCGAAATTTAATTGAAACACCTTGCATATATGCCCGGTACAATGCCTGATCTAAAGTGCATCACGTAAAGCAAGTGTGGGAATCTGTGCTGCTGCACACCTATCTCCGTGATAGTGTGTGCGTAGCGTAAATCCCTATAGGGAATGATTGTACGAATTACTTTGTTGATATGTGCATGCATTCAGTGTTTCTATTAGCTTTTGTTGGGCGACATAAAAACGATGGAAGAAACAGTGCAAATGACAGGAGAGGAGAAGGGGCCGCATATTTCGAATTTTGAGCGCTTGCTCGGGGTTTTACTGTAGTCTGAGAGTTTATACCAGCCGGCATCCAAAAAAACTACTCTCACGCGCACGAAAGCGAGGATTTCAGTGCTGATGCTGGCAAAGTCGCAAATTTCTTCTCTTTTGCAGGCCCTGCCCCAGTTAACGATGAGATTGGCCTCTTGCTTGCCAAAGCGCGAGCCTGAAGAAATCGTCTGTGCAGTGGATTGCACGGACGGCTATTTCCCGACCCACATTGGTGAGTAAGGTCGCTCGTTTGTGTTGCCTGAAATTTGTTTATTTTGGAGAGCTCTTTTAGTCTTTATGAATGTCGTTCCGCTGATTGCTGGAATTGTGTTGCAGACCGCATGCATTCTCTGAGGCTCATTAACTGCTGATTTATATCTGTTCAGATCATATCAGAAGCACCTAGCGTGGCCCCGCCGTGGTGGTCTAGTGGCTAAGGTACTCGGCTGCTGACCCGCAGGTCGCAAGATCGAATCCCGGTTGCGGCGGCTGCATTCTCTATGGAGGGGAAAATGCTGTAGGCCCCGTGTGCTCAGATTTGGGTGCACGCTCAAGTATTCCAGGGGGTCGAAATTTCCCAAGCCCTCCACTACGGTGTCTCTCATAATCATATGTTGGTTTTGGGACGTTAAACCCCACATATCAATCAATCAATCAATCAGTACCTAGTGGGGAAAGGTCGCCCATCACACTACGTATGACGGAAGATTTACATATCTAATACCTTTCGGCTGACACGGTGCTTTCTCTTTTCAGGAAATGTTGTTACGAAAAGAATGGTTCATTGATAAAAAGCTTCGGCTGATTGGAACGAATTGTTGCAATGTGTTGTAACTAACAGTAGACCCCAAGCTTGGGAGGGCTCAATTAAGCTGAAGTCACAATGCAAGCTGTAAAAAAAAAAAAGGGCAGATGTTAAAAAAAATGTTTGGAGAACAATGAAAATTGGTCATGATAATGATATTGTTCTACTTTTATAGACCCCTGCATATGAATTTGTACCAAGCGAAAAAACTGTCAATGCTACTTTCTATGTGGGGCCTCAAAGACTCATGAAATATCGTTAGCTAAGATAATCGGGACATGAGTTTTTTTGGTGGGTCAGAGAGTACCATTGCTTGACATTTAAAGAAGTGTTATGCTACATGAAAACATGTGTTTGCAAGACAATATTCAGTAGGCTTTTAGCCAGCCTTTATGTTCTATTGTTATTGGCCCTGTAGACATTAAAATTGTGCAGTAAACTGGCTGCACGATAACCTTTGCTTGCTCACAAGGAATTCTGTGACAAATTTTCACTGAGAACACATAGAATAATAGTGGATTTGTATGGATAATATCTAGAAATAAAGGAGGTCTAGCTATTCCAGAGTTGTGTTTTGTCAGTAGTGACATTTGTTGAGGAGGCCTTGCGACAAAGTATGTTTGAATTCGTAACCCAAAGGTGGCAGCATACTTCAAGCAGAACGCTTTGTATCCTTGCCAAGAAGGATAAGATGAAATTTCTCTGTATGGGACAGCTTCATTTTATAACGTCGTGAGCTAAGAAAAAAGCATGCTTTTGTGAGCAACAGCGTATCACAGCAGCGTCGACGGCTATCTAGACAGACACAGACACTTGGTGCATTTTGGTGATAAACACTTTGGTAGTACAGTTAGTCAATGCAAAGGTTTTTCTCAGTTTACCATCTCAACCACACAAAGAGAGAGAGAGAGAGAGAGAGAGAAAGAAATAGGAACGGCAGGGAGGTTAACCAAGCTTGGCTCGGTTGGCTACCCTTCTGTCTAATGCTTACCTTTAGGTTAGTCCAGTCTTGTACCACCAGCGCAAGTTGCCCAAACGTTTTTTTCTTGTCACACGCCAACTGCTTCAGTGGCATTATCTCTTTATGTCTACATGTTTGCTTGATTTGTACGTACAGATTCGAGTGACGGTAATGTGGAACCCTACTCTCCCAAGAGTGAGATGGAGGAGCCCGGCATTAGACCCGATGGTCCCTATGGCCCTCCACTCTTTGGCCATCCCGGTAAGTACCTATTCGATTTGAGTTGCTCAAGCATGATAGCGAAATTATGACGCATGCTCTCTGGTATGGGGTGGATTCCTGGCAGCCTAGCCTCAGGCACATCATCATCATCAGCCTGACTACGTCCACTGCAGGACAAAGGCCTCTCCCATGACCCGCCATTTAACTCGGTCCTGTGCTCGCTGCTTCCAATTTATACCCGCAAGCTTATTAATCTCATCTGCCCATCAAACCCTCTGTCTCCCCCTAACCCTCTTGCCTTCTCTGGGAATCGAGTTAGTTACCCTTAATGACCAGCGATTGTCCTGTCTACGTGCTACATGCCCGACCCATGTCCATTTCCTCTTCTTGATTTCAACTATTATATTCTTAACCCCCGTTTGTTCCCTAATCCACTCTGCTCTCTTCTTGTCTCTTAAGGTTACACCTACCGCCCCGCCGCGGTGGTCTAGTGGCTAAGGTACTCGGCTGCTGACCCGCAGGTCACGGGATCGAATCCCGGCTGCGGCGGCTGCATTTCCGATGGAGGCGGAAATGTTGTAGGCCCGTGTGCTCAGATTTGGGTGCACGTTAAAGAACCTCACGTGGTCAAAATTTCCGGAGCCCTCCACTACGGCGTCTCTCATAATCATATTGGGGTTTTGGGACGTTAAACCCCTTATATCAAGGTTACACTTACCGTTTTTCTTTCCATTGCTCGCTGTGTTGTCCTCAATTTAAGCTGAACCCTCTTTGTAAGTCTTCATGTTTCTGCTCTGTAACTAAGTACCGGCAGGATACAGCTGTTCTATACCTTCCTTTTGAAGAATAGTGGCAATCTACCTGTCATAATTTGAGAGTGCTTGCCAAATGTGCTCCACCCCATTCTTATTCTTCTAGTTACTTCAATCTCGTGGTTCAACTCTGCGGTCACTACCTGCCCTAAGTAGACATAGTCTTTTACAACTTGAAGTGCACTATTACCTATCTCGAAGCGCTGTTTTCTTCCGAGGTTGTTATACATTACTTTCGTTTTCTGCAGATTAATTTTAAGACCCACCTTTCCGCTCTCCCCAACTCTGTAATCATGAGTTACGATGCGTCTCCTGAGTTACTCAGCAATGCGATGTCATCGGCGAAGCGCAGGTTACTAAGGTACTCTCCATTAACTCTTATCCGTAACTGTTCCCACTGCTAGACCTCTAAAAACTTCCTGTAAGCACGCGGTAAATAGCATTGGCGAGATTGTATCATCCTGCCTTACACCCTTCTTGATTGGTATTTTGTTGTTTTCTTTATGAAGCTCTATGGTAGCAGTTGATCCCCTGTAGATTTCTTCTAGGATGTTTATATATGCTTCATCGACGCCCTAATTCTGCAGTGTCTGCATGACTGCTGATATTTCTACTTAACCAAACGCCTTCTCGTAATCTATGAAGGCTATGTATAGTGGTTGGTTATATTCTGAGCATTTCTCTATTACCTGATTGATAGTATGAATGTGGTCGATTGTTGAGTTGCCTGTTCGAAGTCCTGCTTGTTCCTTTGGCTGATTGATTTGTAATGTTTTCTTAACTGTGTTAGCAATTACCTTTGTAAATAGCTTGTATACTACGGAGAGCAAGCTAATCGGCCTGTAATTTTTCAAGTCCTTGTCATCTCCTTTCTTATGTATTAAGATGATCTTAGCATTCTTCCAAGACTCTGGTACTCTTCCTGTAAACAGACACCTCGTAAACAGGGTCGCTAGTTTTTCTAACACAATCTGTCCTCCATCTTTCAGCAGCTATGATGTTACCTGATCCTAACCAGCAGCTTTGCCTCTTTAGCATGCTCTCCAAGGCTTTTCTGACTTCTATAATTACTGGTGGGGTGTCATCTAGGTTACTGCTAGTTATTATAGTATTAAGGTCATGGTTGTCTGGGCTACTGTACAGATCTCTGTAAAACTCCTCTGCTACTTTAACTATCCTATCCATATTGATAGTTATTTTGCCTTCTTTGTCCTTAGTGCATGCATCCGATTTTCGCCTACCCCAAGTTTCCTTTTCACTGCTTTGACGCTTCCTCCGTTTTTCAGAGAGTGTTCAATTCTCTCCATGTTATACCTTCTTACATCGGATACCTTGCGCTTATTAATCAACTTCGAAAGCTCTGACAGTTCTATTTTGTCTGTTGTACTTGAGAATTTCATGCTTTTACGCTTCTTAATGAGATTCTTCGTTTCCTGGGAAAGCTTGCCAGTGTCCTGTCTAACTACCCTGCCTCCACCTTCCACTGCACACTCCGTAATGATACTCGCTAGATTATCATTCATTGTATCTATGCTAAGGTTGGTTTCCTTACTAAGAGCTGAGTACCTGTTCTGAAATGAGAATCTGAATTCCTGTACTTTCCCTCTCGATGCTAGCTGATTGATTGGCTTCTTGCGTATCAGTTTCTGTCGTTCCTTTTTCATGTCTAGGCAAATTTAAGACCGTACCATTCTATGGTCACTGCATCGTACCTTGCCAACCACTTCCACATCCTGCACGATGCCTGGGTGTGCACACATTATAAAGTCTAATTTGTTCTTATTTTCGCCATTAGGGCTCCTCCATGTCCAATTACGGTTTCCTCATTTTTGGGAGTAGTGTATTCAAAATCCGTAAATTATTGCTTTCTGCGAATTATACTAGTAGCTCTCCTCTGCCATTTCTAGTACCGATGCCATAATCTCCTGCCTGGTTTCCAGCCTGCTTCTTCCCTAGCTTTGCATTATAGTCTCCCATCAGTATAGTATACTGTGTTTTTACCTTACTCATTGCCGATTTCACGTCTTCATAGAAGCTTTCAACTGAAGCAGGCTGGATGTAGGTGCGTAAGCGTGTACCAGCTTTATCTTGTATCTCTTGTTGAGTTTAATTACGATACCTACCACCCTTTTATTAATGCTATAGTATTCCTCCATGTTGCCAGCTATGTTTCTGTGAATAAGGAACCCCGCTCCCAGTTCTCTTCTGTCAGCCAAGCCACGATAGCAAAGGACGTGCCCATCTATAGCACTGTATATGCCTCATCTGTGCTTCTAACCTCACTGAGCCCTATTACAACCCTATTTAACACCCTTTAGCACCTCGAATAGCACAGCTAGACTTGCTTCACTAGATAAGGTTCTAGCGTTGAACGTTGCCAAGTTGAGCTTCTAATGGTGGGCCTGAGATTCTTAGCACCCTCTGCTGCGTCGCAGATTTGACCACTGTCATGGTCAGTTGCTTTGCAGGCGCCTGAGGTCTGAGGGCCAAGGGTTGATTGGCGTATCTATGTGGTAGGTAGTGGCCAGATACTGCACCAGCTAGGGTGGCCAATCTTTCTCTGGTGAGGGAGCGCAGGAGCGGCGGAGGTCACCGGTGAGGCTGCACCCTTGGCCTCTTCATGCAATTTCATCATCACAGGGATAACTATTTTTCTTTAATCCGGTGGGAAAGTTTATTCAACTCAACTATTTGGTATCACCGGCAAGTTATTCATGTCGTGCCATTTATTTTGAGGTTATTCTTGTCATGTGTGCGTGTCATACGTTCACTGTCATGTGTTTTATTTTGTCGTTTATTCAAAGTGTGGACGATATCATGTTATCTTTGCCTTGTCATATGTGCAGGGTCATTTTGTGTTTTGAACTTCACTTCCGATTCCTTTTGCATACCTTCCAGCTCCCCCGATTTGCCGCGGGATTCTAGATTCCTTACTAATCTCGTCATTTGTACAACTGCGACCGTAAATCTTCCAGTAAGCTGTATCAAATCGATTACAAAAAGACTGTAGTAAAACAAAGACCGGTTACCGGGGCAACATGAACTTATTTGCATGACACATAAAAGAAAAAGGATAGTCTATGCAGTTTAAAGGTTCGTTAGCGTGTCGTGTGTGAGGTTCTCCTCTTGCCAGAAACACACTCGCATCCCAACTGCTGCCACGGGTGCGGACACGTCCACGGTTTTATGGCCAAGTTTGGAGAAGGCACAGGAACTGTAAAGGGGCTAGAATGCTCCTGTATCAACAATAAGGCTACAGGCTTGCATTGAATGTTTCAATGCCACGGGAGTGAGGGCCGGATGCTTGTGACACAGCTTGCGTTGTGTGATATTACTCATCTGCCACGCTATGTCGCATCTGTTTTTGCAGTTTCTTGCTGTATGTGACACCTGTATAAGGTTTTTTTTGGGAGCAAAGCTTCTTGTGGTCAAGGGCAATCCATCCTTCCGGCATACCCAGCACAGCATATCCACAGACAGACAGACAGACAGATGGACGGATGAGAGAGGGACGGACAGACGAACGTTTTGCCCCACTTATCATAATTCACTTCTTTGATATGCTGTTTTTTTTTTTTTCAAATAAGTTTTTCTGCACCAGTTTGATCTTCGGTTGAATACTTACCAGTCACTCCAGTTCGATCTTCGGTTGAATACTTACCAGTCACTCAGTGAAGCCGAGTTTGAATGGGACTCGATTCTCCATATTTTTTTATCATTTTGTGTGACAGTGGTTACAAACAGTGGAGACGGTGGGCAACCATGGCACCAAATCTCCTGTTGTAGTGATCTCCTGAAAGTTCTGGTGTAACATTTCGCCATCTCTTCAGTAAGAGGCAACAATGAGTAGCATATGAAGTAGTGCACGGGTCGAGTTAAAGTTTCGTTCATCATGGGCACTTTGCCCGATGTTAACGTGTTCTTGCAATTAAAGCATACCATGAATTCACTGTAGTTTCTGTCGCTGTTACTCATCCTGAACTCTTGTTTAAATCGTACCATGCTGGAGTAGGTGCGCTCATCGCGCATCTCCAGTCTCGTTTCCTTGGCCCATCACATGATTGCTGCGAGAGTGTAAGGGAGAGAGGCCACTGGCACTTACGCAGCCCCTTACATGGGCCGGAAAGTGTCAGTGCGTGAGCGTGTTCTGGCAGTGCTTGGGCTAACTGTTGCACATGCGCGGTAAGGGTGGTGACGCTGCACACCGGTATGAACTGTGCCTTAAATTGCTTCGCATCTTACACATTTGGGCTTTGGTTTGGGTGCGTGTTCGGAGAACCGTTGGTGGTCAAAATTCGTTCGGAGCTTCCGTTGCGGCATGCTTCATAATCATAGCGTGGTCTTCGAATGTATTACCAGGGAACTTCGAATGCATCGCTAATCCACTGAGGTGATTTGATGATGTCATTACTTGTGCCCACTCCCTGTCAACAATTCAACCACCCCCTCATACCGACTCCTGCAACTCCATCTCACATGTTATCGGTAAAGCGCCTGTTCCTGCTTCTTTTTTTTTACAGGTAACGTTGCCACGACTGGACCCGAATTCTTCCGGGTTCGTGAACTGTTGGTGGGATTCATCTGGGACGAACAGTGCGTTGTGTTTATTTTGTGTCACTGCGTTTACTGTTTACACCTATAAATCCATCTGTACAGGTCCCAGAATGGTCCATAGGCACGTTGTAAGTAAAGCAGTTGATATGTTAATATACTGTGTTTCCGTAGTGGCGGCAAATTCTGAAGGCGCGATAACTTGAGACGGATTCGTGTAGACACACACCTGTCATCTGGAAGATATCAGTGACTTTTCAAGTTGAAACTCCATGTAACATGATGAGTGCACCCGAATAGTTTATTTAAAATGACAAATTTCGATCCTTAGAAATATAAAATTGTGATATATCGACACTATTACGCTACCATGGCACTTTCTTTACCAATAACACGTCTACACACATGAAAAGCTCCCAAAAGCAGGCCTGACATGGAGCTTCTGATGTCCAGATTTCAGAAACAGAATATGTATTGGGTCACTTGCAGGTGTGACAGGCTGCCGGTATGTTAAGATGGGAAGAAAAAAGGCAGTGGCTGCATGAGCAAACAGAGTACAAAAGTTGCAGGGAGGCAGTCACTGCCCTGTGTTCCACAAGCCATTAAATAACGGAAAGAACATTAGCGTTTGTGCGGGAGTATTCACGGACAACATGCCACTACTACCCCTATTGCCATTTGGTACGTAAAAGCGCTATAGACTGTCCAGCCCATCAGTCTGTGCACAGGTGCGGCGTGCAGCTTTGACAAATAAGCCGTTACTAGTGTGGCTATATATTTCAAAAAGATAGGGTTACAGTGTATGCCAAAGAAAAAAAAACGCCTTTGTGTCAAGTTTAGAAGAAAAATCCCTGAATTTTGTACACAATTATTCCTCACAGAACTTTGTTAAATTTGGTTTCATGTCATAGTAGCTACGTTAATTTGAGTTGATTGAACCCCACGATCACCGTCAGGGGAATTGAGATTCTGTTTTTAGGTAGAGAAATCTGTAAAACAGCTTTATTGGATTGAGCTTTTAAGTGCATAGCTTTGAACATATTTAAAGTATGTCACACCATTTCACACAAAATGGAGCACCTCGCCACATTGAAGTCAGCTTGTTGCCTATATAAACAACCAACAGCCACATATGCCACGAGTTGTGTTGTCCGCCATCATCTCTGCATGTGCTAGTTGCCCGGACATGCCTTGTGCATGCGGGTATAAGCTGCTTGTGGCCGTATTATGAGACAAAGAACTTTGGATATATCACCAGAATGTTGCTTTCAGTATGCACCGATTGGCCATTGAGGAAAGGTGGACAATCAATCAATCAGTCAAGCAATTAAACAATTTATCTTTCTTTATTGGCATCAGAAATGTAATACATGGCAAGTAATTATGCAGGAGGAGGTCCCATGGTAACAAACTGCAGGCGGGACCTCCTATGTTTTACAAAGGGAAAACTAAAATACGAACAACGAAAAAGCAAAAGCACGTGGCTGCCTTCGTTAATAAAAGTGCGATATTTTACGCTCCCTTCAACTATGTTTTTTCAACGCTACAAGTGATTGCTTACACGTACATAATTAAAGGGCCATTCACTGGGCTTGACAATTTTGAGCTGACAAGCACAATGCGTAGATGGTGTGTTTAAGGTGACGTCTGCAAAAATTTGCAACGCGACGGGCCGCGAAAATGAGTCAAATTTCAAGATGAACGCTGCTCCCCCTTTTTTTCGCAGGCGTGCGCCCAGAAAATGAGGGCATGACATGCACGTATGAATTGGCGCAGTGCTGTGACGCTGGTCCTCTATGTAGACGACTGTGCTCTGAAATTGCCAACAGTAGCACACGACACGGCGAAAATTATTTCACATGACATGTGTAGTTTACGTAATTTGTTGCTTGAATAGATGGATAAAACTTGAGATAAATGATGAGATGCAATAAGCGAATGTGCGCATATTTTCCATTTTCCGCTTTGAACTCCGAGATGCAAGGTGAATGTGCCTGCGTTTTGCTTGTATTCGTGTCCCCGCAGTTAGTGGATCGAGCAGACGCCTAGTCGTGGAGAAGAAATTAATGGTCCTATGCGTTCTAGCACTCATTACGCTCATCTATTCTACCGCGCTTCAGCCAGTGTTTCTGAACCATCCCGCAGAAGCACGCAGTAGAGCACAAAAAAACGATAGTAAACAAAACTATGCCGTTCGCGTGATTGGGGGTAGGGCTTGTTCGGGCACGTCATAAGCACGTGACCTCTTGGTCGAATGCCGGAGGGGGTAGGGAAGAGATTTGGCTTGTGAAGGTTACGCCGGGGAGTGGCAAGGGTTTCGAGCTCGCCTGCTTGCATCTTTCTTTTGCGTCGCTTGAAAAAACCAGTTTTCTCAGCTCGTAATAAACCAATCGAAAAATTTTTATGTGGCACAATGCTCCTCATCGGACACACAACAACTTCCACGGTCTAACTAAAATTTGTTATGGGGCCTGGTGTGTGGCCCTTCAAGACCAGACAACCGTTATGCATTCATATGAAGTATATGCGAAATTCTTTCATTTGCCATCTCAGTAAATTACAACACCACTACCTTTTGCAGGTAACGTGCCCGAGACGGGACCACTCCCAGGTAACGCGCCCGAACCAAATTCTTCGGGGTCCCTGCGTTGCTGGTGGGATCCATCTATCGTGAACAGTGCGTTGCGATTCCATTTATATTTTTACTCGTGAGAACTTAGGTGCGAGGCACGAAAAGAACCAGGATGTTCTTTGCATTTCAGAGGCTAAAGATAAAGCCAAGAGCGCTTCAGTGCCCGTGCCAGTCTTCTGTTGCGAGATGTGTGGTGATTGCTTTGCGTCCGTAGAGCACCTAAACAGGCACAGGCTGTCGACGCACACGGCGAGACCTCAAGGCAGGCACCAGTGCGCTCTGTGTCCATACTCTAGTAATAGAAGGTAAGCTGTAAGAAGTTATTTAGTTGAGTAAGGTAGACCTGCGGGAATTTTTTTTGTACACGTTCTGACCTTGGTATAACTAACGCAGGTATGATGAATTGTCATGCTTAATGAAGGACGAGGCATGCGGTAGATATAGTTTTACGAGCTGTTCGATATTGTAGCAAATTAGAACTGAGTGAGAGATTGTCTCCTTGTTGTCAAGGTGTAACAGACTCCCCTTTTAAGGGCCAGTAAACAGGCTTCCGACTTTCTTATTTAAATCTCACACACAAGCTTGCAAATTCGTGCAGAAGGCCACGACGATCACATTTCGGGAGTAATGCAGTGCTGCGCACTGCACAGACGCCGTGAAGAAGCAATTCCCACACTCCTCGCCAGTCCTCTTCGTCCACGAATTAACGCAATCTTGCTCATGGGCAACTTCACACGGCACAAACTTCGTCCATTGGTCTTCTGTTTTCCGACATGGTGCCGTGGCCTCTGCGGTGGTACGGTTTTGACTGTGCGTTTGTACATGCCGCATATTTGCTTATCTTGGTAGTGTCTCGAACCATGCTTCGTCACTCACTGCGCCACTCTGACTTAAGTCTTGCTAAATCGTTGGCTTCGCACGAAAGATATAATTGCTGATGTCGTGTTGCGTTACTGGAGCGAGCATGGTCGATACTAGAGGCCGGATTTATAGGCACTAAAAATCGGGTTTAGGTGCCTAAATTAGACAGGCAAGGCACAGTTTTGGCCCCCAAAGTCGTAAATATAGGTGCAGTAAATGTTTCCAAAGTTCTCAACTTCGAGAAAATACGTGCCGGACCTTTGTCTACTACAGGAAAGCAAAAATAAATGATTTAGTTTATGGTGCTAGATAAGAACCAATGGTTTAGCATAGCCATGAATTTTTTTCCTGCAGGGTTTGCAGAACGCGGTCTCTCGTTTTATTGTCCAACACGGTGACTTGACTGTCCAGCGTCAAAAAACATGCTCCTGGGTATCTTTCATTTCGGCATGGCAGAGGAAGACTGCAGAAGCTGCAGAAGAGTAAATAGCCTGATCCCTAATAGGTTATAACCAATAAGGGCCTTTAGCCCCATATTAAGTGGGTCTAATCACACAGGGTCAATTTCTCGTCTGTCTGTGAACACATTAAGAGCCCCTCGCCAAGTTTGAGCATTTGGACCAGACAAGAAAATGCATGCACTGGGTGCTCACGATTTAGCGCAAGCCCCCTTTGAAGCAAGCTGACAAAGACTGTCCCCGGCTGTCCACATCAGCGTGCAGCACCGGGTATTCCCTTTGGCCACTAGGCCCAACCACCGAGACATCGTCACGTTACCGACATTAGGAGACAACGACAACGGGGACCAGGTCGGCAGGAATGTCGACGTTCCTAGAGACTGTATAATCCCTGACAAGTACCGCACATGACCAATCACGACATTGACGTCAAGATCATTAGAGATGACAAGTAAGATCGGACTGAATCTTGAGCGGAACTATGACGATAGAGATGCCCGAAATTCACTCAAACGGTTTGGTTTATAGTGTGGTTGGCGCGTAAGCTTAGTGGGGATTAGTTTGAACTTGGAGTAATTAGTATTGGGTTTGTATCTTTGCATATAGAGGGTGTGTTGTTGTGTTTGTGCTTACTAAATGGGTTTTGTTACTAAATGAGTCATGTCTCAGTCCATCGCCCACAAACGCAGCCCGTAGTATGTGACAATTTTCTGGCAGGCTCGCGAATTATCATGGACTATGGTCTCCTTCTGCGGGCGATGGACTGAGACTGTGCCGTTTAGCAACAAAACCCATTTATTTTCTCACACACAGAACAGATCCTCTATATGTACCAATATTAATTCAAGTTCACCGAATCTTGAGCGGAACTATAACGATAGAGATGCCCGAAGTTGACTAGAACGCTTTGGTTTATAGTGCGGTTGAGCAAAAACTTAGTGGGGCTTAGTTTGAATTTCAAGTTATTAGTATTGGGTTTGTATCTTTGTATATAGAGGTTGTGTTGTGTGTGTGCTTATTCAATAGGTTTTGTTACTAAATGAGTCTTCTCTCAGTCCATCGCCCGCTAAAGTAGCCCGTAGTTTGTGACAATATTCTGGCAGGCTCGCGAATTGTCACAGACTACAGCTCCTCCTGCAGGTGATGGACTGAGACATTGGCCGTTTAGCAACAAACCCATTTATTTTCTCACACACAGAACACACCCTCTATATGTACCAATATTAATTCAAATTCACCAAATCTTGAGCGGAACCATGAGAACAGTGCTGATCGAAGTTGACTAGAGCGGTTCGGTTTGTAGTGGGGTTGGCGCAAAAGCTTGGTGGGGCTTAGTTTCAATTTGAAATTATTAGCAGTGGGTTTGTATCTTTGTAAATATAGGGTGTGTCGTGTTTGTGCTTAATAAACGATTGTTACTAAATGAGTCATGTCTCAGTCCATCGCCCGCAAAAGCAGCCCGTAGTTAGTGACAATTTTCTGGCAGGCTCGCGAATTGTCACAGACTACAGGCTCCTCCTGCAGGTGATGGACTGAGACATGTGCCGTTTAGCAACAAAACTCATTTATTTTCTCACACCCAGAACGCATCCTCTATATGTACCAATATTAATTCAAACACACCGAATCTTGAGCGGAACTGTAACGATAGGGATGCCCGAAGTTGACTAAAACGCTTTGGTTTATAGTGCGGTTGGTGCAAAAACTTAGTGGGGCTTAGTTTGAATTTCAAGTTATTAGTATTGGGTTTGTATCTTTGTATATAGAGGTTGTGTTGTGTGTGTGCTTATTCAATAGGTTTTGTTACTAAATGAGTCTTCTCTCAGTCCATCGCCCGCTAAAGTAGCCCGTAGTTTGTGACAATATTCTGGCAGGCTCGCGAATTGTCACAGACTACAGGCTCCTCCTGCAGGTGATGGACTGAGACATGTGCCGTTTAGCAACAAAACCCATTTATTTTCTCACACACAGAACACACCCTCTATATGTACCAATATTAATTCAAATTCACCAAATCTTGAGCGGAACTATGACTATATAGATGCTAGAAGTTACTATAACGGTTTGGTTTATAGTGCGGTTGGTGTAGAAGCTTAGTGGAGCTTAGTTTGAATTTCAAGTTATTAGTATTGGGTTTGTATCTTTGTATATAGAGGGTGTGTTGTTGTTTGTGTGCTTATTAAATGGGTTTTGTTACTAAATGAGTCGTGTCTCAGTCCATCGCCCACAAACGCAGCCCGTAGTATGTGACAATTTTTTGGCAGGCTCGCGAATTATCATGGACTATGGTCTCCTTCTGCGGGCGATGGACTGAGCCATGTCTCGTTTAGCAACAAAACCCATTTATTTTCTCACACGCAAAACGCACCCTCTATATGTACCAATGTTAATTCAAACTCATCGAATCTTGAGTGGAACTATGACGATAGAGATGCCTGAAGTTGACTAGAACGCTTTGGTTTATAGTGTGGTTGGCGCAAAAGCTTGGTGGGGCTTAGTTTCAATTCAAAGTTTAGTATTGGGTTTTTATCTTTGTATATGGAGGGTGTGTCGTTGTGTGTGCTTATTAAATGGGTTTCGTTACTAAACGAGTCTTCTCTCAGCCTATCGCCCGCTAAAGTAGCCCGTAGTTTGTGACAATTTTCTGGCAGGAACGCTTTGGTATATAGTGTGGTTAGTGCAAAAACTTAGTGGGGCTTAGTTTGAATTTCAAGTTATTAGTATTGGGTTTGTATCTTTGTATATAGAGGGTGTGTCGTGTGTGTGCTTATTCAATAGGTTTTGTTACTAAATGAGTCTTCTCTCAGTCCATCGCCCGCTAAAGTAGCCCGTAGTTTGTGACAATTTTCTGGCAGGCTCGCGAATTGTCACAGACTACAGGCTCCTCCTGCAGGTGATGGACTGAGACATGTGCCGTTTAGCAACAAAACCCATTTATTTTCTCACACACAGAACACACCCTCTATATGTACCAATATTAATTCTAACTCGCCAAATCTTGAGCGGAACTATGACTATAGAGATGCTCGAAGTTACTATAACGGTTTGGTTTATAGTGTGGTTGGCGCAAAAGCTTGGTGGGGCTTAGTTTCAATTCGAATTTTAGTATTGGGTTTTTATCTTTGTATATGGAAAGTGTGTCGTTGTGCGTGTGCTTATTAAATGGGTTTTGTTATTAAATGAGTCTTCTCTCAGTCCATCGCCCGCTAAAGTAGCCCGTAGTTTGTGACAATTTTCTGGCAGGCTCGCGAATTGTCTCGGACTACAGGCTTCTCCTGTTGGTGATCGACTGAGAGATGTCTCGTTTAGCAACAAAACCCATTTATTTTCTCACACACACAGAACACAACTTCTATATATACGAATATTAATAACTTAAAGTTGACCGAATCTTGAGCGGAACCATGAGAACAGTGCTGATCGAAGTTGACTAGAGCGGTTCGGTTTGTAGTGGGGTTGGCGCAAAAGCTTGGTGGGGCTTAGTTTCAATTTGAAATTATTAGCAGTGGGTTTGTATCTTTGTAAATATAGGGTGTGTCGTGTTTGTGCTTAATAAACGATTGTTACTAAATGAGTCATGTCTCAGTCCATCGCCCACAAAAGGAGCCTTTAGTCCGTGACAATGTTTTGGCAGGCTCGCGAATTGTCACGGACTACGCGCTCCTTCTGCGGGGAACGGACTGAGTCGTGTCTCGTTCAGCAACAAAACCCATTTATTAAGCTCACAAACTCGACACACTCTCTATATATACTAATAATAATAATAACAACTTCAAATTCAATCTAAGCCCCACTTAGCTTACACGTCAAACGCACTATAAATTAAACCATTCCAGTCGATGTCGGGCACCTCTATTGTCAGAGTTCCGCTCAAGATTCGGTCCGATCTTGTCAGCTCTAATAGTCTTGACGCCCATGTCTTGATTGGTCGTGCCTGGTACTTCTCGGGGATCTCGACATTCGCTACGAAGATTGCGGTTCCTGCCGCTTGGTCGCTCGTCGTTGTCGTCGCCTAATGTCGGTGACATGGCGATGTCTCGGTGATTGGGCGTAGCAGTCGAAGGTGACACCCAGTGCTGCACCTTGACGTGGCCACCCAGGAACCGTCTTTGCCGACTTGCTTCGAAGAGGGCTTCAGCTAGGAACTTTTGCGGTTGCTGTGTGCGGCTGCTGTATTCCAAGCAGCCTCCCTCAAAGCAGGACGAGGTCCCTGTGTACTTTTCGGGACGCTCATGTCACAAATTCCGGAGTTTCTGTTCCGACGTTCCTGCTGCCAGTGCGCTTGCTGGCGATGCAAACTTTTTCTACCTAGTCTGCGTAAAGAATACCAGCTTGTCGCGTCTTTTGCGCTGATCGCAGCTTGGGTCGCAGGCCTCTGGCCTCAATGTATGGTCTATATGGCCACGCCTTTTCGAATCTTCTTTGAACTTTGTCGTCGTCTTTGGGGCTCCTACTTATGACACTTGCCCCCTCTTCTAAGAGTTTTTTCTAAGAAAACTGCTTACCTCTCTCTCTCTTGGTCTTGAACTTGCATTCGCACTTCAAGCGTTCCCATTAAACTTACTTTCACTTTACACTGGTCATCAAAAAGTACTTTCGCCAGCATCTTATCCAAAACTACACTATTCGGCAAGTCCACTATATTATCGTCCGTAGCACTCTTTCCTAGATTCTAAATTTTAACTGGCACAAGAGTTCAGCGCTCACCGTTCAAAATGTTGAGTAACTCGTTGTGTACGGAATTCAGCTTCCTATTAAGTCAATCACCGACCTAGTTCAAACACATTCCACTGGTCTTTCTTTTTCTATAAAAGCACGGCAGCGGCAGGAACTGAGCGTTACCGTTCCTGCCGCTGCCGAGGTGGTCACCCGTCGTCATCGTCGCCTGATGTCACTGACATGGCGATATCTCGGTGATTGGGCGTAGTGTTCGAAGGCGACACCCGGTGCTGCACCTTGACGTGGCCACCTGGGAACATTCTTTGTCGACTTGCTTCAAAGAGGGCTTCAGCTAGGAACTTCGGCAGTTTCTGTGCGCAGCTGCTGCATCTGAAGCAGCCTTCCTCTAAGCAGGTCAAGCTCTCCGTCTACTTTTCTGGACTCCCTCGTCATATGTTCCTGAGTCTCTGTTCCGGCGCTCCCGTCCCCCAAGCGCTTCCTGGCGATGCAACCTTCTTTTACCAAGTTCGCGCAGACAATACCAACTTGTCTCGTCTCTCGCGTTGATCGCAGCTTTGGTCACGCGCCTCGGGCTTCAATGTACGGTGTATGTGCCGCGCCTTTTCTAATCTTCTCTGAACTTTGTCGTCGTCTTTGTCTTCGAGGGGCTCCTACTCATAACACTTTCCTCCTCTTCCACGAGTTTTTTCTAAAAAAACTTCTTACTTCTCTCTCTTGGTCTTGTACTTGCATTCGCACTTCAAGTGTTCCCATTAAACTTTCACTTTACACCGGTCATCAAAAAGCACTTTCGCCAGCATCTCATCCAAAACTGCACTATTCGGCAAGTCCACTATATTATCGTCCGTAGCACTTTTTCCTAGATTCTAAATTTTATTTAGCAGAAGAAATCAGCGCTCACTGTTCAAAATGTTGACTAACTCGTTGTGTATGGAATTCAGCTTCCTATTAACTCAATCACCGACCTAGTTCAAACACATTCCACTGGTCTTTCTTTTTCTATAAAAGCACTCCTGAGTTTTAGACAACACTGTTCAGTCTGTGTTTTTTCACGTTCTGCGACTTTTTTAGTTTTCCTCCTACATCTACTCACGCCCCACGGTCTAAAATGCTCGACACAGATGATGCATCTCATTTTGTTTTATTCCGACTTGTACTACCTCTGTCGCTTGCATTCGCTTCCGCCATGCGCTGTTCTACTGTATTCACGTCCTCTACTTTAACCATTGGCTTAGTGCAACTGCATGCAACATCTGATCCTTTTTCCTGCAACTCATCGGTCACATGACCTGTCGAGCTGTATTAAACTCCTGCTCGCTAACCTTACACTCAACTGAAGCACAACAGGGAACACCACACATAATAATTTCTGTTGATAACTCCTCTGTGTGCGTTTCTTCTTTCGGTTTACCTGTGCCTTGTGCCGATTGCAGTTGCCGCTCTAGTGCCTGCTTTTCTCTCGCATAGATTTCTTGCACTTCTGCGCGTTTCGCCTCAAGTTTGGCATTGTGCTCCTTCCTCATTAACTGACACTTTTCCCGTTTATATTATCTTTCCTCGTCAATAAACCTTACATCCTCCTCTTTGTTGAGTTTTGCTCTCATACAACTGTTATTTTGTCTCAATTCATCACCGCAACAACCGATAATGAATGACTGGGTCGGATTGGATCCTGCCAGGTTTCCTCAATCGTCACGGACTACGGGCTGCTTTTGCGTGTGACGGACTGAGACATGACTCATTTAGGAAGAAAACCCATTTAATAAGCAGACACACAAGTCACACCTTTCATATACAGCATTTCAAACCCAATATTAGCAACTTCAAATTCTAACTATGCGCCTCTAAGCTTATACGCCAACCGCACTAAAAAAACTAAACGTTCTTGCCAACGTCGGGCATGTCTATCGTCATAGTTAAGTTATATGTTACTTGTCTTCTCCGATGATCTTGACACGAACCTGGTGATTGGTCGTGTTGAGTACCTGTCAAGGATCTCGATGCTTTGTGCGAACGTCGGCGCTTCAGCCGCAGTCGACGTTGTCGCTTGTCATCGTCGTCGCCTAATGTCGGCGATGTGGTCATGTCTCAGTGGTTGGGCCTATCGCTTGAAGGTGATATCCAGTGCTAAACGGTGACGTCGCTTCTCGGGGTCTGTTTCCACCAACTTGCTTTAAAGGGGCTTTGTGCTAGGAAAGTTGGCGGTTGCTGGGCGCGGTTGCTGCATCCCGAGGAGCTTTCTTCGAAGCAGGGAGAGGTCTCTGTTTGCTTCTCTGGACGCCCACGTCACAAGTTGCAGAGTCTCTGTCCTGACGCTCCTGTTGCCAGTGTGCTTGCTGGCAATGCGACCTTCTACCCAGTCCACGTCGACAATGCCAGCTTGCGCACCTATCACAGCTGGAGTCATGCGCCTTGGCCTTCACTCCACAGTACGCGTCCTCGAGTCTTTTCCACTCTTCTCTCAACTTCGTCTTTGTGCCTGAGTTGCTCCTAGTTATGAAAGCATGCTTCCCAGCAAAGTGAACGAGTATCGCCTCGCACGCCCGTCTACCGTAAGAGGGGCGCGGATCCCGGTAGGCGAGGAAACCTCGGGTGATAGCAGAGCGCATGGGATAGGAGCTTGCGCATCTTTTTTTTTTTTTTTTTTTGTGTACGAGCAAGAATTATTGCCAGCATCTTCTGTCTGAACTGTAGGAAAGTTTTTTTTTCTGTTCCTGCATTAGTTTTTTTTTCCAATTTACGAGAAAACGCGTGGCAACTGCTGCATTTACCAGATCGATAACTTTAAGGAGGTATCGATTCGTCTGTGGGAATATCACTTTTTTATTTTATAGTTTGTTTCGTCTCAGTGCTAAATACCTCGATTGGAGAAATATAGAGGCATTCAAGCAATCCTTCTTTCAGGACACTTGTATGGGGGAAAACTAGGCTAAACATTGTTGTTAAATCGTATAGCTCTACTAAGCTGACTCATAATTTTACTATTTTATCGAGTATTGATATTTATTAGGTGATCATCCCATGTGCAGTTACGCTCTAGATAACCGAGTACCCTGGTCATGTCGATAAAATAAGGTACGTGAGAAGTAATTTTGCCGGAATAAGGGCTTCGACTAGCCAACCATCGTTCACTCTCCACATCTTTCGCAGTGAAAATGCCTGAGTTGTTATTGTCTCTTTTATCGTCATCTGAGTTTTGATGATGTTTTGGTATCACAATGGCAATATCAGTGCCGTGTTAATTTACTGTGCTCTCGACTGCATCCAAATCAAAGGGTCGCACATAAAAGCATTACGGGGTCTTTCTAGTGAAATCTAAATATTCGCCGAGGTCAGATACTAAAAAAGAGAAAATGTGCAAATTGTCACTGCTATGTAAGTAACACCGTAGTGTTTCATACCAGGGGGCGCCCGCCACGGTGGTCTAGTGGCTAAGGTACTCTGCTGCTGACCCGCAGGTCGCGGGATCGAGTCCCGGCTGCGGCGGCTGCATTTCCGATGGAGGCGGAAATGTTGTAGGCCCGTGTGCTCAGATTTGGGTGCACGTCAAAGAACAACAGGTGGTTGAAATTTCGGGAGCCCTCCACTACGGCGTCTCTCATAATCATATGGCAGTTTTGGGACGTTAAACCCCACATATTAATCAATCCTCGCAGTGGCACATGCACATCGTACAAATGCATAGTCACTTCTTCACAATAAGTTTTGGACCTTGTAGATGTTTGCTGGCCCTTTAACAAATGTTGGATGTTGCGTTTCTATGTTTGTGTCAAATGTGACTTTCTTGTGGTGAACTTCAACGGCAGACTGAGCGATGGTTCGTGCATCAGTCGAACGACTCTATATGCAGGCACGACGTGGACGCGCACGAGCGCACTCACAACGGCGTGAAGCCGTTCGTATGCCACCTGTGCCACAAAGGGTTCGTCCAGCGTTCTCAGCTTCACGTGCACCTCAAGAGTCACAGTGGCGAGAGGCCGCATGAGTGCATGGAGTGCGGCAAGCGGTTCGTGCTTCTCTCGCACCTCGACTACCACCGGAACAACGTGCACGGCAACGCGGAAAAGTCTCACGTGTGCCCGCAATGCGGCCGCGGCTTTGTGCGGCGTGCCGTGCTCGGCCGGCACATGCTTTCGCACGAAGCGGAGAAGCCGCACGTCTGTTCGGTGTGTGGCAGGACGTTCTCGCGGCTAGACAACGCCAAGACTCATTTGCGGCGGAAGCACCCGGATTCCGGTGGAGACATTTACACAACGCCGGTGGGGAACCCGTTGGAGGATGTGCCGCGCTACGGTGCTTTGAATGAAGGTCGGGGAGATCGCTCCTCCGCGTTGTATGAAGGTGCGTCATCGAACATTCTTGGTGTCGCTGGTGTTGTGGAAACGCCACAGTCAGACATCTTGCATACGCTAAGCAAACCTTGATGTAGTTCTCCCTGAAAAAGGAAGTGGGAGTAGTGGCAGAGAGAGTGTGCATGAGAATGTGATAGTGTGCTTGTCTTGTAAAACACCAAACTAGTGACTAATAGCTCCAAATTTGGTTGCCGACAGCTGTCAGGCGAAGTGGTGTCAGAGAAGTTTCATACTCGGCGTACTCATCCTGCTTGGTCTTTTTAAAATTTTTTGCTAAAAGTGTGCCCGAAATTTTAACGCGATAGGGTTTGAGAGCTCGTTTCGCAAACATTTCACTGGAGGCGAAGTTGTCGGCATCGTTCGTCGTAGGGGACAATTCAGCATCTTGTCAATGACAAAAAATTAGGAAAGATGCAAATAAAATTTCCGAGCTTGAGTGAGAATCAAACCTAGGTTGTTTGCGTGTCCAGTAGGTTTTCTACTACACAGCCGCACCTTTGCTTGGAAATACAGGAATAACAACTTCTTTTGCTTGGAAATGCAGTGAAAATATCTTTCATGCTTTACTAACACATGTGCCCTTCCCAATGCATGTACTTTTGTAGTAATATTGTGTGGTACAAGCGTAGATTGCCATCGGCCGTCAGAGCATGTGATTATCATGTCAGTTGTGTGGTTTAAAGCTGTCCACACATTACTAAAAGTTACTGCACGTGTTCTTTCAAAGGGACACTAAAGAGCAAAACGATTTTTTGCATATTAGTGAAATACGATATCTCAACCCCGAAAACACTACTATTACCGCAACTTGACATTTACTAAGCTAGAAGGCACACAAAAAGAAAAATGTAAGTGGCAACGCTATGTTGAGATTCCTGCATCAAACACCGCGACTCAAGAAATTTTAAAGGCGTCTACTAGGTCCTACACACAGTAGACTCAGTAAACGGAAATATGTTAAATAGAGCAACTATCTCTGATATTATGGGCTTTGTAGTTGTATTCTGCACCCATGTTAATCTCTCAGTAAATGGAACTCCTGTTAAATAGAACATATTTCTCTGGTCCCTTTGGGTTATGTTTAGGAGAGTCTACTGTAGCCTGCAATCAATAAAAATGAAGTAGATTGTAATTTGTGGGTGTCATAGACTTAGCATACGAAGGTTAAAAAAATTTTCATCGAGTCAGTGCTACGAAAATACTGCTAATACATCTTGAAATTTCTTATGTCACATGTGAAGGTCTCGACGCAAAATTTATGAATGAAGCCTTAACTTTGATTTTCACCGCTACTAATGAACTTATTGTCACGTGGTCGTGACGTGGGTAAAGGGAGCAGACTGCAGGTCGAATAATATAATGTTTATTCGGACCGAACTTGTGGCCACGTAAAAGGAAAGTTAGATTACAGCGAGACACATTGCACTGGTAGCAGCGAGCAGAGCATCAGCCATTGATCAACTGACAAGCAGCGAAGAGTGTCGGCATTTTTACTCTTTCCATCGAATATTCTAGCGTTATCGCTAGTGGCGACATAGGTTCTCGAATAATCTGTATTGTTCATGAAGTGGGCATAATCTTGACAAAACGATCCACTACAGCCTCGAAGCCTCTTGAACATCGTAGGCGCGGTTTGCACTGAACGTAGTGTAAGGGGGTGATAACAAAGCCTGATGAAAGGAATGGGCATTGCCCCCCTCTGAGAAAGTCATCGTCCCGATGCTTTAACAAAAGACGAATGTTTGATAATAAAAACTATAAACTCACACAACAGCAACAAATTACAGTCCTCAGGTTTGCGCATGAAATGGCTTGAGGCGCACGACATGGATGACTTCAGGTCGAGCACGACGCCGTTGAGAGCTTGTAATGCCATCAGGAACAACCTTGTAGTCAAGTGGGCCGAGACGTCGAACTACTGTGTACGATCCGAAGTACCGTAGCAGAAGTTTTTCACTCAGTCCACGTCAGCGTATCGGCGCCCATACCCAGACAGGGTCAACGTGCTGGTACTCCACGAAGCTTCGTCAAAGATTGTAGTGGCGGCTGTCGGCCGCCTGCTGATTCTTGGATGCGCAGGCGGGTGAGTTGACGAGCTTCTTCCGCGAGCTGAAGGTAGACGGTGACGTCGAGGTTTTTTTTATCAGCGGCGTTTGGCAGCATGGCGTCGAGCGTCGTTGTCAGGTTTCTTCCATTGACCAACTTGTATGGCGGCATCTGCGTCATCTCTTGTAGTGCAGTATCGTATGCGAAGTTCACGTACGGAAGGATGGCGTCTCACGTTTTGTGTTCAACGTCTGCGTACATGGCCAGCATGTTGGCAATGGTCTTGTTTAGCCGCTCAGTGAGGCCATTGGTCTGTGGATGGTAGGTGGTGGTGCGGCGATGATTTGTCTGGCTGTACCTCGGAATTGGCTGCGTTAGGTCTGCCATAAAGTCCGTAGCTCGGTCGGTGATAAGGGCCTCCAGCGCGCTGTGACGTGGAACAATGTTTTCAACAAAGAACTTGGCTACCTCAGATGCACTGCCCCTAAGCAGGGCCCCTGTCTTTGCATAGCCTGTGAGGTAGTCGGTAGTGACAATGATCCATTTGTTTCCTGAAGTCGAGGCAGGAAATGACCCTAGTAGGTCCATGCCAATTTGCTGGAATGGTCGGCGTGGTGGCTCGATGGAATGTAGAAGTCCAGCTGGCCTAGTTGGTGGTGTCTTCGTCGCTGACAATCTCGGCAAGTCTTCATGTAACGAGCAACGTCGGCAGCAAGTCGAGACCAGTAATACTTTTCCTGTATTGTGGCGAGCGTGCGGGAAACACCCAGGTGTCCGCTTGTGGGATCGTCTTGCAGGGCTTGGAGTACTTCTGGTCGCAATGCGAAAGGCACGGCGAGAAGGTACTTGGCTCGACGCGCCGGGAAGTTTTTTTTTTTTTTTTGAGAACACAGTTTCGTATGATAAACGACGTCGCTGCTCGCTTGAATACCTTTGGGACAGCGGTAGCACTGCACTCGAGGTACTCCATAAGGCCCCTGAGTTCCGGATTGACTCATTGCCGTTCAGCGAAGTCGTCAGCACTTACGGTTCCTAAAAAGCAGTCATCATCTCGGTCATCCTGCGGTGGTGTGTCGACGGGGGCACGAGACAGGCAGTCGGCGTCAGAGTGCTTTCTTCCGGACTTTTTGAACGACGAAAATGTCGAATTCTTGCAGTCTCAGGCTCCATCTTGCGAGACGACAGGAACGGTTTTTCAAGTTTGCCAGCCAACACAAGGCGTGGTGGTCGCTTACTACTTTGAAGGGCCTGCCATAAAGATAAGAGTGAAATTTTGAGGTAGCCCAGATAAGTTCAAGGCACTCCTTTTTTTGTGGTAGAATAGTTGGCCTCCCCTTTGATAGCGACCGGCTAGCATAACTGACGACAGTTTCCTGTCCGTCAGTCCTCTGGACAAGAATGGCTCGGAGTCCTACACTGCTTGCATCGGTATGTATTTCTTTTTTGGCGAATTCGTCGAAGTGCGCAAGCAAAGGAGGCGTCTGCTGCGGGGTTTCTCACTTGAATTTCACAATGGACCTAGTAGTTAGTGAGTGGCTCAGCGATCTGGGCTAAGTTCTCGATGACGCGCCTGTAATAGACGTAGAGGCCGAGAAATCGACAGACCGCTTTCTTGTTGGCGGGTGGAGGGAATGCAGTGATGGCGCTTCTGCGGGTGGGGCCGTACACCGCACTTGCTTATCACATGGCCCAAGAACATGAGTTCCTCGTACGCGAAACAGCACTTCTCTGGCTTGAGGGCGAGTCTGGAGGTCTTTATTGCTTGAAGTACAGTTTCAAGGTGCCGGAGATGCTCGTTGAAGCTTGACGAAAACACGACGACATTGTCCAAGTACACGAGGCAAGTCTGCCACTTCAGTCCAGCAAGTACGGTATCTATAACGCGTTGGAAAGTTGCAAGGGCCGAGCAACGACCAAACGGCATCACCTTGAATTCGAAGAGGCCGTATAGTGTTATAAAGGCCGTCTTTTCTTGGTCTCTCTCGTCAACTTCAATTTGCCAATAACCGGTCTTGAGGTCCATTGACGAAAAATACCTCGCATTGTGGAGTCGATCAAGTGTCGTCTATCTGTGGGAGAGGATCATCCTTCTTCATGATTTTGTTCAGGCTACGATAATTGACGCAGAAGTGTAGAGTGCCGTCCTTCTTTTTCACCAGCACCACAGGTGATGCCCACGGACTCTTGGAAGGTTGTATGATGTTGTCGCTTAGCATTTCATCGACTTGTTTTTTATTGCTTCCTGCTCTCGCGTGGAAACTCTGTACGAGCTTTGACAGAGTGGTCTGGTGCTCTCCTCTGTTAGGATGCGATGTTTAGCTACTGGTGTCTGCCGAATTTTCGACGATGATAAAAAGCAGTCCTCGTGTTGCTGGAGCAGGTTTTTTAGCCATTTTTGCTTATGCATCGGAAGAGTCAGATTGACATCGAAAGTCCCATGGAGACCTTGATTCGTCAAAGCAGGTTCAGTAGACTCAGCGAGGGCAACAGCAGTTGCTGGCTTCGACAATTTCTTCAGAATAGGCAACTGTCGTGCCTTTGCTCACGTGTTTGTACTCGTTGCTGAAGTTCGTGAGCATCACCATTGCTTTCCCCCCTCTCAGCTCGGCTATTCCTCTTGCGGCGAAAATATCGCAGTTGATCAACGGCTGCTGGTCACTTTCAACGACGCCTTGTATGCATGCTTATTTATGAGAGCCAACGCAAATGTTGATGCTGGATCGAGGGGAAAAGTGATCTGATCTTCCTGTACATTCAAGGCCTGCTTCCCAGGTGGCGTGTGCGGCGGTAGGGCTTGTCCTGTTGATAGCGTTAAGGACTTGGCTCTCAGATCGATGACTGCACCTAAGAAGTCCATACCAAAGATCACATCTCTCGAGCACCGGTGTAGTACTACGAAGCTTGCGGGGTAAATCCGGTTGTTAACGCAGACTCTCTCAGTGCAGATTCCCTCCAGTGTTACTAAGTGGCCTCCAGCTGTTCTTAATTCAGGGCCTTTCCAGGCGTGCTTGACTTTCTTTAACTTCGTAGTGAATGCTCCACTGATGTCCAAAGTCAGCTCCGGTGTCGACGAGAGCTGTTACACAGTGGTCGTCGATAAGAACGTCGAGGTCGCCAGTTCATCGTCTTGCGTTGCAGTTAGGTCGTGGCGTCGGGTCACGGCTTCGTCGTCTTTGTCCGCTGCTTCCATGTTGCGTCGTTAGGTCATCATCAGTACATGGGGTTTCATCAGTCAGGGCTTTGCTTGGTTCGCGTGGTGTTCGGAGAGTACCGTAGCCTCGTCGTCGTCGGCAAATCTTTGGTAGTTCGTCGCACAGCAACTGTATTCCAGCGGTCTGCCTTTAGTTTCCCGGATAAAGGCTAGAAGACCGG